AACCTCCTACCACAGTCCAAAGACATGTATATCATTGTAATTGCTAATTCTAAACTGGCAAATGATGTGAATGTGAGAGTGTATTTGGCTGTCTCTCTCTTTCTCTGTGCTATCCCTGTTATGGTTTGCATATCCTGTCATGTCCAGGGAGCACCAGACCCCTTGGGCGTGAAACCTGTCTCTGTAAACCTACACATGGCGTAGTTTCCAGACTCCAGTGACCCTGAACTGGATAAACAGTTTAAAAAATGGTTGGATGGACAGACAAGTAGTTTTCCTGTAAAAAATCTCAAAAAGCAATAATGGAATTAAAAGTAAAAAATACAAACCTTAACTTCAAATCTTTAAAGTGGCAATGGAGGCTAACTGCAGCAAGGCCAAACCTTAAGGTGAATCAGTGCTTTAAAGAGTATATCAAAGTGCGTCAGTCTGTCTGAACTACTTCCATCAGTGCTGCCGGACCTCTCAGTCCTGCCTCTGTTTTCTATCATCCTCCTGAAAACCATAATCACACTGTCTTGGCTGAATTTGTCTAACTCATTACCTGTTCTTTTTATTTTCTTGCCTTTGTTGCCATGGATTTGACATGTTTGCTGTTGAGCACATGCACAAGATTTGTTATATCTTGTCTTTGTGTCCTTTAACATTTTTCTCCACAACACGTTTCTGTTTATTTCCATCAACTATCTGTCTGTGCAAATTATATTTTGACAGTTTGGTCATGAAATGTGCATTAACTAAATGAGGCACCCTTTGTCTCCAGTTCCATTTACACAGGGACACCTACAGCTCCTTTACTGTAATTTAACTGCAGCTAAAAGCCTTGTTTGGAATCATTATAATGACTTCGGTGTGGCTCAGAGTCTACACACAAGAGTCACAACAAGTACTGCTACAAATATGTGTCAGGATGAAATAAGAGACAGTGTAGTTTATTAGCCTTTTCACTGGTGCCATAAAATATCGTGAAATGAGAACCATGGTTTGAAATACTGCGTGTGTTCTATTGACTTAAATTATTTGTACACTGTGTTCCTGCAATAAGAAATTACAATAAGTGAAGAAGTCACTGTTTAAATTATATCTACACAGTTCCAGATGACATACAGTCACATCTCTGTCTTTTAAAAAGAATCATTTTATGAGTATTTTAACTAATTGGTATAATTGGATATTTTTGCCATCAGAATGTTGTTTTAAGTGGATCTCAAAAGAGGGATATAAACACAGATCAATAGCACAGTGGGCAAGAGAGGCACAGCAGCTATGTCCCCCACCGTCTGCATCGATAAAAAACAGAGAGAAGGCAAAAGAAAAGGATGAGAGGGGGGAGGAGGAGACTTCCACCTACAGAGACTAGCAGCTACGAGACAGCTGCCAGAGAATCTTTTCTGCTCAGGAACACTGGAGGAGAAAAAAACCTGCTAACTTGTAGATAATTAGCTGGAGTTAACAACACGTGAAAAGGTTGCTGGTTCTGAAGATCAGAACAAATCTGATTTGTGTAGAAAAAGACCATATTCAGTCCAGGAAATGGTGTTTATATGCAATCATTTTGTTTTGATGATTACGTCAAGAAATGTTAAGAATTGTATTGCATGATGTTCATATTGCAAAGCTTTGGCACCTTGACCATGAATTATTTAGCAAACAAACTGCCTTACCATGTTTGACAACCTTCCATTCATGGCACCACTTGTTTTTCTGACCTCCTTTAAGCATCAAGAAATAAATCAATGGTACTAAAAGATCAAGCTTAATTACACTGTCTGAAAATAGACTCATCAAAAGCCTTGAAAGCACTATTTCAAACTGCTGAATACCAAAGGATTTCATTTCATTTCATTAACTTTAAGTATGTCTGACTGAATATGGTTTCGCTTCAGTTTGCTAGCGCGGCAGCTAATACCTGGTTATGAAAAACAGGATTTACTTTCATGTTTTTAAAATGTAGTTTGGATGTAATAGGTAATACTATAATGTTTGTTTTACTCTGAAAGAGCTTGAACTATTGATCCTTTGTGGATTTAATGGATTAGTGAACATATTTTTGTGCCTCCTCCAGACATTCCCGAGGTGGATACAAAAACAATTCAGTGGATACAAAAAAAGTAATTAACCTAATGTAAGTAAGCATTACACTCGCTATAAAGGAACAATCCTTTACACAAAACTTTAGTGCTATGAAGTAACATGAAAGCTTTGCATGCACCTAACACAAATTAACTGTCACATGACCATCATCTCTTCAACTGAATGCTTGTGTTAGCACTCATGAGTGTATGACAAATGTTTATACTAGAAAATAGTTTGGTAAAAAAAACATAAATTTCTTGTCAAGACAGATAAATATGTTTGTGTTCAACATAATGCTGCAAGTCTGGTCATAATATTTTCATTTGAACACTATTTTTTAAAAGACTTTGATTCACTATATATGTAATTAATTTGTGTTGGTGATTAATATAAAAATATGCTGTCACTGCCAGCTATAGAAGTCTTTGTACAATGAACAGAATCAGTGGTGTAACAATATTTAGATTATGGCTTACATACAACCCAACTGGATCTCAGGTGGGCCAGACCAGTGTACTGCACAACAATAATAATTGAATTATTTTTTTATCCTAATTATTTAACTGTAAAGAAATACAACTAGTCTAAAAGTGGGAAACATCCCTGAGAAAAAATTAAAGTAATTTCAGCAAGATTTTTTCAGGTTTTGCATATTTTGTTGCTCACTGTTAAAAAAAAAGCATTGCTGTTGTTGTTATCAAAATAAAGAGATAATTCATTTGGGATTATTTATTAAATTTTAGTTAGAATAGCATAAGCTCACTTTTGGACTAACTTTGACCATCTGGCATGTGAGTTATATGTTTTACACGCTTACACTGAAGTAAAAGATCCAAACGTCTTAAGTTATTATCAAATTGCCATAGAAACCTACATTGGTTTCTTTTCACTGAGTGCAAGTTAAATGCAGAATTTAATTTAAAATCCTTTTCCTCACATGGAAGGTCCTGAATAATCAGGCCTCATAGTACCATATCATCTCAATAGAGCACTTTGCTCTCAGACTGTCGGCATACTTGTGATTCCTAAGATATTTAAAAGTACTATGGGAGGCAGCGCGTTCAGCTTTCATGCTCTTCTGTGGAATCATCTCCCAGCTTGGATTTGGGAGACAGAAATTCTCTCTACTTTTAAGCTTAGACTTAGGACTTTCCTTTTTGACAAAGCTTATAGTCACGGTTAGATCAGGTGACCCTGAGTCCACCCTTAGTTATGTTGCAATAGACTTAGGCTGCTGGGGGCTTTTACTTCCCACTGTCACCAAAATGCTTGCTCATAAGGGTTTGATTGTTGAGGTTTCTCTGTATTATTGTAGAGTCTTTGCCTTAGAATATAAAGCACCTTGAAGTGAATGCTTTTGTTATTTGGAACTATATAAATAACACTGAATTGAATTGAACTGAGTTAACGTGAAAAAAATATCCTATTGATGTAGTGAATATATGCAAAGAAATATGCACTTGCACACTTTCACTTTTCATTATTTGTGATTTGGCTGTGAGCTATTTTGAGGCTTATGAAGAACAACTGATTTAAAAAGTGTGCAATACTACACCTGGAATAAAAAACAAATGTTCCCGTCACTAAGCTCCAATGCAGCAATTTTCCCCATGTGCTGGACCAAAATCATTTTCCACATTAGGCATCAGAATATAGTTTAGGTGCTGAAATAATAAATCCCTTTAATCCTAACGTTGTGATTGGAGTCCTGCGGCTCTTTAACAGCTCAAAACATATTTTATGTTGTTTAATCACTCTCATACTTAATTACTTTTATGGATATTATGAAAAATAACCCTTTTTAAATTCAAATAGTTAATTGATGTAAGTTCTAACAGGTCAGATGTTTTCAGAGTCAGATGCATATAGAATTAAATACTGAGCATTTCTTTATCTATGAATAGATTGAGAAAAAAACAGAAGTATGATGAATAATATGTCACCTCCTCACTGCTGTATTTCATTTCAGTATTTTCACAGTAAAAGGAAAATGGATTATTCCAAACTAAAATATTCTGACACACGTATTAATCTGACTGTCTCTTATCTAAGTCTTTTGTAACCAGAGGAACCACCCGGGGAAGGCACACCTTACGCACCTTACAGTCCTAAAAGCTAATGAGCTTATTGTTTTGATCTTTACTCAACTGTTCATTAACACAAATATCATATTATCCAATTACGTGGGAGCAACTTGGTGGATATGCACACATAGAATTAGTTCAAACGGAGCATCAGAATAAGGAAGAAAGGTGTTTTAGGTGACTAAGACTGCAACAGTAACTCAAACAAGCACTTACTGCTAAAAAAAAGCAGAAGAGCTTTCCTGAACACAGAACACATAGAACCTTGAAACAGATGGGCTGCAGCAGTAGAAGACCACAATTGGTGCCACTGTCACATAAGAACAGGGACACAAGGCTAAAATGTATGCAGTCTCACAAAAATTGGACAATAGAAGATTGCTATGATGTTTTCTGGCCTGAGTTAACTAACCAGAGATGCTATTGGTAGACAAGCAGAGGAAGATGGCCATAGTGATAGATGAAGCCATACCAAAAAGGACATCAGGAAAAAGCAACACGAGAAACTTAAGAATAAAAAGGTCTGAGAGAACAGTTCCACAGTTCAGTTAATGGGGAAACACTGATTATTCTAAATATTAATTCATGTATTTTCTGTGACCACAGTAAATCTACCAGTTCATTCCCTTCTTCACTTTTTGTGTAATATCTGTTAATTGTTTAAAGAGTTCTGCTGGTCTTTGAAGGTCAAAGAGAATGCAACCTGCAAGCATTTAAGAGCTTCTGCAGGTAGGGTAATGCACAGGAAAAATGCCCACATACTCATACAGATTGCAACATGCTACAGAACCAGGCTCGCTCACAGCCCTGATAGGCTACTTTGTTGCAGTGAGCCCTAAGCACACGCTAATCCGTGATCGTTAATCCTCTGCAGACAGAACGGTGCTTGCTGTGGACCGTGCCAAAGTGGCTATTTACGCGCAATTATCGCTACAAACTCGCTACAGTGGGTGTTTGCATACATGCACTGCACGTCTGGGTGACCTGCCTGTCTCTGCCCCCCTCTCCCCCACCCACCGCCTGTCCATTGGGCTCCGTGATACTTCATGGTGTTTGTGCCATCTAGGGTTATCCGCCGCTCCATTGCAGTCTTTCTGGCGCAGATTTCGCGTCTCGCCATCTGCTCACTCTTGGACTAACTAATAACTTCCGAATCACTGAAAACAAACAAGAAAGTTTTCTTCTGGACTTACGGCCTTTACTTCGTTTTAAAAGGAGACATTCTTTCTGCTTGGATAAGTGTTTAGGTACAAAAGAGAAGCAACCGATTCCAAGGACGTGAACACTAGTAATTACTGCACCGCGGGGGGAAAAATAGACAAACGCCTATGCCATGTAGCTGCACTCTCACATGGAAATATGCAGACGAGCCCACACAGCAGCGAGCTAGTTATTTTTACTTAAAGGGAAAAACTACAAAAAATGCTGTGAAGCTCTGTGTCGCAGCTTGGCTCCCGGCAAAAGCGCAGGTTTTTCCAGAGCATCTGCTGGTGGGGGGAAAAATTGTCAGGAGCGAGAGAAGAAGCGATATGCGGCTGGTCGGGCAGTTGCTTTTGCAGTTCCTCTTCTGGAATTAGTGCATGAATGGGAAGGGAGCGGCTTTAGACTCGAAGCAGGAAAAAAAAAAGAGTGTACCGTTTAAAGCTCGCGGCGGCACATAATGGATACTTTCCTGCCCTTAAAGGTAAGTCGAAACCTTAAATGTCCGATTCGTGCAAGAGTTCTGCCTGTCTTACACTACACGGGGATTGAAGATGCACTTAACAGTTTTATTGCATTGTCTTTTATGTATATGTTCTGCGTCTATTGGTTACAAATCATCTTTTAGTGTAATTCTAATACACCGATGATGGATTTAAACCCAAGTGATACATCATTCGATTGTATTTGCGGAATTAAGGCAGGCGTTGTGTTAATTCAGTGAAGAGCGGCTCACACTTCTGGGCAATTACAGGTATTCTCAGAAAGTAACTTGATCGGCGGAGAAACGTCGGAGCTTTACGCTGTGTTTTAATGTATTTTTACGTTTCTTTATTGTACCTATGTCGAAAAATAACACTGCGCTTGGACATAAGGCTGAGAGGATGGGGAGTTGTGTCCGATGCATGCTAATTCTTGGTGTGCATATACGTGCCCCTTTTGCTGGTCTGCAAATGTGTGTGTGTGTGTGTGTGTGCGTGTGTGTGCGTGTGTGTGTGTGTGTGTGTGTGTGTGAGAGAAAGAGAGACAGTGAGAGAGAGCTAGAAAGAGAGAGAGAGAGAGAATAAAAGAAGGTTTTAATCGCATGTCCGATATGTGCTGGTTATCGCAAATGAAAATATTGGTTTGGCAGGTACGCAAATGCGGGAGTGTGTGTGTGTGTGGTTAAGGGATGGCCGCCATGAGGCTCCAACGCCACCACCCACTGTAATCACCACCCTCTTGTGGATTACTTGGCAGTTGCGGGGACGGAGTACGAACTCCGTGTCCGGAGGTGGAACCTGTTCCGCGGCCGCTGAAGTCTTTTCAGCACCACGGACAGCGCAGTCAAACTGCGCCCGGAGGGAGCGTTTCCTTTCCACAGAGGGATTTGTACTGATATTTTATCGACATCGATGGCTGCGCCCCAACCCAGACTGTCCCCACCATGGAGAATTTCTTTCCAGCACACAGAGTGAGGAAGTTTCTGTAAAAAGAAAATAATAATAATAAAATAAAACAAAAGGAAATCATCTACTGTAGAGACCCAACAGCCTTTACTCAGAAAACAACAACAAAAACAAGCAATATTCTGATGCAAAATGACTCATTGACAGGTGCGCCACACCCTGTTTATTCCCAGAGCCACGTAGGCCTAATTTATTACAGTCCATCTCATTGTCCAAATGTGCAATGTGTCTGAATGGAGCAGGAATAGCTTATGTAGGACTAATATGACCATTTTTCAGTCATTGCACTGTCCAGGTGCTTGTGTTTAGATAAAGAGAATAGTATTTGGAAAAGCTATCTATTATGATTGTTTATTTAGTATTGGTGGTGGCATAGAGGCGATGTTTGGACATCAAATTGTTCTGAAAATGGATGGTTATGAAAATCACTATCTCACAATGTAATCATTGGCTTATTTAAAAAATAAATAAATAAAAAATCAAGATTGCTCTGGTGAAGAGAGAGCCTTTCTTACAAAAAAGAAAGAAAGAAAATCAAAAGCAATCCCTGTGCATACTTGAAATAAATCCCAAATAATAGGCAGAAGCTATTATTTCATTTGATATCTAAGTCATAACTCTTTATAAACCAAAAACCTATGAAGGCGCATATTATTCACTTGAAGTCTGAGTCTGTTTGGCTGATATACCCCTGGACTTGCTCACCATCATTCACTGGCTCTCAAGAGAAATGTCTGTCTCAATGCTATGTTTGCTATTCTCTATTGAGGTCATTGAACAAGTGCCCTCATTTATGTTGTCATAGTGTTTTCATTGTCATTTGGTACTTTATACTAAATGACAATGAAAAAACAAAACAACAACAAATAAACAAACTTCTCTATGCCTTGTCAAAGTTACTGTACAATGACACTGAAAACAGAAATTCACATTCTTTATGTGTGTGGATTAATAATCATGGTTAAATCAGTTTGCACTGACAGTAACAATAAACAAAGAGGAATAGATTCTGATTTAAACAGTGGTAGATTCTAACTCAGGAATAAATTATCTACTCCAAACCAAGCCCCGCCCACTTTAAGGAACAGAAAACACTCATATGATGCTCTAACCCTGAATGCATCTGTGAGTGAATGGCTCTACTCAGCCTCAGCAGTTACACACTTTCTCATGTGGCTCGTGAAGAATGACGTCATTACAGGAATTGTGATGTCACTAGTTCTTTTTTTGGTTTAGACTGGGTGTGGTGAGTGTGTAGTGTTGAGCAACTGTGTTACAGAAGAGGGCCCGGCGTTTGAAACACATGGGAATGTTTCTGCTAAAGGTGTTAGAATTCCTTTTTGGAAACTGTAGGATCCAGGATTTGTAAGGCATTAATCTTAAAACTTTAATTCAAATTATTCCTTCAGTGTTGTTAATGCTTGGCTATCAGCTAACATGCAGCACAAGGTGCATAGCTGTTTGCCTTCAATTATTGCTTTAAGTTTAGCAATTTGAAGCTTTTTTACATTCCTTTAACTGATATGCATGCCTTTGTAGCCAGAAAACAACAAAAGCATGAATTGCTTTTGTGTCTTTAGCTGCTCATTGCTAACAGTCCCAACAGAACTGTCAGCAGTGCTCATCTGATATGTTGATATCACTAGCATTTATTGTCTGTCAATGCTTGATGCCAGAATGACGCTGGAGGGCTAATGCCTTCTGTCGAGACTGCTTGGTGAAATTGATAGGCCTGCTTTGACAGATGAGATAACCTGCAATCGCAGGGAAACACAATTTACGAGTATGGCAGATGGATGCTTAGGACGCACTCAGAAGTAGGGCAGCTTTACCGTGGGGAGAAGCTCAACGTGCACAGAAGGCTCACAGAGAACGTTAGAAAGTTGTTGTTTTGTGAAGGAAATTATGAGAGAGATGTAGGAGGAATGACAACTAGAGGACTTTTTTATTAAGCAAGGCACAGGGAAATAATAGAGAGGGGATCAATTCCTGTTAGCGTCTGTGGAATAGCTTTTATGGAGGGCAATAGCAGTTCAAAAATTAAGTGGAAAATAACTTGGGATTTAGTCTTAAACCCTCTGTGGCATCTCGTATGCTATGTGAAGAAAACTCTCCCTCATGGCTTCTTCGCTCACCTTCACCAGCAGAAAGATGTATGGATGCACAGAATGCTGAGGAAATAAAGAAAAGGATCTAAGCTTGAAGCTGGGAGGAGTGTAAAGGCAGTCAGATACGTTTGATCTCTGCTAAAATAATGAATATACAGAAAAGTAGCACTCAGGAAGAGAGTGCAGCTGCAGGGCATTTTCATGTGCTTTCTTCACCTCAAATTGCCATGCATTACAGGGAGACATTTCCCTAATGAATTTAATCATCACTACTGTTGTCACTGCGTTGGTCTTTTGTTTGCATTCATGTTGACTACAGCCCAGCTGCCGGAGTGCAGCATATGTGCAGAGTGAAGCTGACACTTGATGTAGTGTTTGGAGACATCAGCTGTTGGGGTGGAGCCCCTAGACATAGCTCCAGCAATTCCTTTCTTTATTTTTTTCCTGGCGTTGCGTGTTTGTCTTCTTGCTTGCTCACCTCAGAACACAATGGTCTTTAAATGTTATCTAACTTCTCTAGATTAGATGGAATATGTGTGAAGAACTGATATCCATTGAAGGTTTTAAGGTTTCTTTACACTTGTTCAGCTGTGATTTGTTGTTTGTATAATGGACACCACAAATTACGCCCATTGGCCCATTGTCATATGTAAAAGTTATTGTGGTTTTCATCTGTAGAGTCCTATGCCTTCATCACTGATTCTTTTCATTTTTTTGACACAAACTACAAATATCCACCCATTAATAAGAAAAAAATCCAACAGATTTCTTTCCCACTTTTGCTTGCAACCATTATTTCCATCGCTTCCTTTATCGAACTACTATTAAATTCAGTTTGGTACACATGACACATCAGTGTTTTGAGAAGAAATTGAAATTAGTAGCTCTCAACATTAAAAAAAAAGTCTGCTGTTGTTTTACCAACTGCCTCCAAAGTCTCAGGTGTGGCATCTGGAGCTTCCCACCGGCAGAGCTTGAATGAAGTAACCCAGAGGCCTTTTCCAACTCAGTAGAATATAGTTTTGCTTTTATGTCCATTACATCACACCTTGAGAACCACACAATTTAAATAAAAGACCATGTAAAGACACTGTTGAATTGATATTTTTTATATTGTCATTTGTGCTAAAATATATAGATATATAATCATTGCCTTTATGTGTCCTAATATGGCTATCAATATGAAGAAAAGGCCAGACAGTCAGAGGATTCATTTTCAACCTTCTAACATTTCCTTTATCTGTGTCTGTGCTGACAAAATGTGCTTTCTTTATTTAGAGTGCAACAAAGAGCTCTGTCTTGTCTTGTTTTGTCGTGCAGTTTGGACTTTTGTTCGAGCGGGGTGTGTGCCTAGATAAACCCAACAGACACCTTAATGTTGACAGCAATATACAGTACAGTAGTTATGAATATGACTTATGGTCACTCAGAGGTGATGTTTCAATTATCTTGAGGAACCTGTTAACCACACTTTGCCTTCTTTAATTTACAGATTATCCTCGATTTGCTAATTATAAGAAGAATATCTAAAAAACGTTCCAATTGTGACAATTAAGCTTTTTATGTCCTGTTTTTGGATTCCTATCAATACTATCTGATCACTGTCTATTTTGTTATCCATGGTGCATCCTCCCTTTTTTTTTGCTTTTCCACTTGTCTTTAGTCAGCCAATCACAACAGTATACACACTCCCCTGTTTCCACTTTCCACCTACCAGATTGTCTTATAAATTGCAGGAATCAAGCTTTACGGCTCACTTCATAGTGCTGTTTCCTTGTTTTCCTGGATGATTTTGGATTTACTTGTTTGTAATGTCCAGTGTTTGGGTCCTTCTCTCCAAAACCATTACATTATATCTAAACTGGCCTGAATGCCTAGAAGAAAACTCTCTGTAAAGCAAAACCATTACTTCCTGCTTAAGTACTAAA